ACGGCACCACAGCGGAACTCATGGTTCCACCAGGGCTCCTTTGGATAACTCCCAGCAACTCTCCACAGGGTGTCTGGGACCAAACCCAACCCCCTGCACACACGGCAGCCCCACAGCGGGCCCACAGGCCTGTGGGCGTGGTTGCTACGAGGCGCCTTCCCTTCTGTTCAAACAACCTGAACTCCACCCGTCCTGCGCCACTCTCACAGCCCTTGCTACGGCCGCGCCCATGTGTGGCCCCACTGCGCCCGCCCATCCCGTCAGGGGTTTCCCCCTTTTTGCCGCCCCTCTGCTTTATGAAGCACAATGTCCTTCTCCAGGGACCGGTCTCTCCTGACAACAGGTCCAAAAGAGACTGTGGCGGGTTTCCACAACTTCAGTGGCCAGTGTCATGCCGTGCTGAACCCTGGGTAGCAAGTACTTTCTCATCTTGATGAAGGGGCTTGCCTGAAGGGACCCACTGGCGACCACCAGCTCCTCCCTGGCAGACAGGTTGGCTGAGTCTCCATCTCACTGCCTATGCCAAGGGCAGTGGCTGGCATAGCTGTCTCTGCCTCACTCCCAGCACATACCGCATCTCCCTACTTTCTCCAGAGTCTGCTCTTGGCACAGCCTCATGCCCACCATGCCAGGGAGGGCCTCCCATGCCACCCCAGAATGCTGGCCCCTTCTCAATAAGACCCAAGCTCAAAGAGCTGGGCCAGCCATCAAGACGAATCCCACCCACCTCCTGGCCCGACAGTGCCAGCCTGTGCTCGGCTGTGGGCGAGAAGGGCGCACGGGACAGACAGATGGCAGACACGTGACTGTGACTCTCCCCTCGCTGTTGGCAGCTGGGATTCCCTGCAGGACTGCAGAGGTACCTTTGTGCACATTCTGACAATGCTCCACATCGAGCGGGCCCTTTGGTAAGTCTGCGAGTGACCTGCCTGCCCTTCAAGAGACGGGCATCCTCATGCCTCCCTCTCCGTCTTCACGAGCCTCGGCGTCCGGCAGGCCTTCATGCCTACCATCGCTGATGGCTGCGGGGCCCCTTCCTGACCCCCCACATCGCTCACAGCTCCTGTCCAGACAGACCCTGCCAGGCTGGCCCAGGGGCGGGGGTGGGTGTCGCAGTGCCCAGAGAGCTATGGTGGTTAACTGCCACGTCTCCCCATCGACAACACGGCCATTCCCAGAACACGGGGGGATCTGCAGTGGACACCTTGGGGAAAGGTGTGATGCTAGGTTGTCAATGTGATCAGCCAACTGGGCGTCCTGGTCCAGCTGAGCAGGGTCCTGGGACCAAGGAAAGGGAGGCCCAGGACCCGAGGGGCAGCAGTGTATGGTCATCATGCTGGAAGCTGTGCCAACAGCACCTCCAGCCTCAGGATGGTCACTATGCTGGGCAGGCTCCAGCTGAGAGTCTGGACCAAGGGAGACAAGGAAGAAAGGCCTGGTGACCTGCATCTGAAAATCATCCAGGCAAAGATGACCATCACAGAGACCACTGGCTGTGATAGGGCTGCAGAGGAGCCTTGGGAGGGCAGCCCTGGACGTGCACGGGGGCTGTGATGGACGCGGGCATGTCGCTGACAGTGACCATGCCCCAGGACTGGGCGGTATCTCAGTCTGTCTTCCAAGTGATTTCTATTCAATTTCCACCCCACGTCTCATTCTGCACCCCCTACCCCTCACGTTCCCTGCCATCCTCAAACCTACTGCCGTGGTCTAGCTGGTTGGGATGCATGGTAGCCCTGCAGGAGCGAGCACCGTTGTGGAAGCAGGCTGCCAGCAGCCGAGTGCTTAACTACTGCGCCACCAGGCGTTCTTCCTGCCGCACAGCCACTGCTGGTTCTGACTCACAGCGACCCTCCAGGAGGGTTCTCAGACTGCCATCTTCACAGGAGCAGACAGCCTCATCTTACTCCCAAGGAGAGGCTGGTGGGTTCAAACGGCTGACCTTGCCTTGAGCAGTCACGTGCTCAGCCACTGAGCCACCAGGGCTCCTTTCTGCCATCACACTCACCACCATCAGGTCGAATCTGACCCGTGGTGACCCTGCAGAGGGTCTCGGAGGATGCCACTCTTCACTGGAGCAGACAGCCTCATCTTACTCCCAAGGAGGGGCTGGTGGGTTTGAACCGCTGACCTTGCCATGAGCAGCCAAGGGCTTAACCACTGAGCCATCAGGGCTCCTTAACTTCTCCTGTAGAAATACCCCAGTGCCTCGTCAGTACAGGTTTGTTGGAGGAAACACGGAACGCAGACAGTGCGGTCTCACGGCTCCTGTTTGTGTCGCGCCCCTCTGTCTTTTCCAACCAGTTCCAGAGACCGCACTTCAGACAGGAGCTGTCCCGGGGAAGCCAGGCGGTGGCCATGCCTCTGTTTGCAGGCCAGATGCACTTCCCGGCGTCTAGAGTCCCAGTGTTTGGAACAGGGTCTGGGTGGGCGCCCAGGAAAGGGCCCAGAAAGAGGGGTAGGTGTGCGTGAGCAGGACCCTCCGAGTGCTCTGCTCTCAGAGGTGTCTCCCTAGGGCACCTGGGCTCCCACTGCCATCGCCTGCTAACTGGCCCGCCTCCACTGACCGTGCTCTGGACTCCAAGGTCCGCCACCCTCCCAGCTTGGGCTAAGCACAGTGAGTCAAGGTCGGAATTGATATTCCTGCTGTGTCCTGTCCCTGGGCTGCGGCAGGGCTGACCGGAGGCGCCTGATAATCGGGACCGGGGAGTGAGGTGAGTCTGTGCCTCCCCCTTGGGTCAGCAGCCCTACGCGGAACCCACAGTACCACCAGGGGCCCTCCCTCGGTTTGGGGGTTCCAGGTGCATGCATGCATTATCCGGTGGGCTGAAACCAACATTCACCACTCCGGCTTTCAGCGATTCCAGCGGACTCCCGCCGGCCAACCTGCACTACAAACCGCCCTGCCAGGCCCCGGGAAGCCCAGCTGAGGGCACTTAATTTATAAAGGAGGATTTATGGACTTTCCGATGACAACAGGCAGCCAATCAATAAGGGATGATAATAACAGTGTGTAATATCAAGGAACATTAGGTCGGAGGCGCGGTTTGGGGAGCGAGGTGGGCATCAGAAACCTTGTCATCTGAGAAAGGTCAGGGCCTGTCGCGGGGAAAGCTGCTGGGAAGCAAATAAATTCACACCTGGGCGTCAGGGCGGGTGGGCCGGCATGCACCCGCCCAAGAAAAGGGGTTCTGATGTAGCGTAAAGTGACCGTCTGGGCAAGGATTTGGGGCTCCCTGGGGCACCCTGCCCAGGGAATGTCGACTTAGTGGCATAGTGGTTACCCATGGGGCTTTGGTGGCAAGGACAGCTGTTCAGAGCCACCAGCCTCTCCGAAGGGGAGTGATGCGGCTGTCTGCAAATCGGAAACCCAAGGGGGCGTCTTCCACTGCTCTCCTTGCTCTGAGTTGGAATCCACTCAATGGCAGCGAGTTTGGTTTTGGTTCAGTTTTGTTACGGATAAAAACTGGTGCTGCCTTTATTTAGAGGGCCCTGGTAGGATGGTGGGCAGCACACTGGGCTGCTAATGACAAGGCCAGTAGTTCGAACCCACCAGCTGTGAGCCTGGAGCTTGGAGAGCCTCCGGGAGGCAGGCCTGAGATTCAGGAGGCTCCTTCTGGGCCCGCATCACAGCTCCTCTGAGCGCAGGAGGAGGAGGGAGGCTGAGGACAATCCTTGGGATGCAGGGTTGGGCGGGGCATGTTTACTGGGGAGCCACTGGGTTCCCGGCTGAGGAGCCCTGGTTACACATGGGGCTGGTGATTGCAAGGTGAGTACTTTGAAACCATCAGGTGCCCCTAGGAAGAAAGAGGAGGCTTTCTCCTTCCATAGAGAGTTACAGTCTAGGAAACACAGGGGCAGTTGTACCCTGTGCTAGAGGGTGGCTATGAGTTGGGCCGACTCTACAGTAGTGAGTTGGACTTTGGTCTTATGGTCATCTGTCTGCTTTTTTTTTTCCGGGGTGGGAGAAGAGGAGGATTAGAGAGGTTCTAATGGTCTACTATCTTGTTTGTTTTTAGTGACTGGAAAAGGCACAACCGGAGCCCGGAATACTATGTGGTAGACCCCATTCCCAGTCATACCAGTATGTACGTCATTCCCCATGGAATCGCCTCTCGGCACCCTGGATCGCACTCACAGCAAGTTGCGCTGTGGAATACACCCTGATTCCAGGGGACACAATCTCCTCAGTCCCTGGAACTTTCCAGCAAGCATAGTCCTGGTCAAAAGGCGCATCTAGATGCTTGCTCTCCTTAACGCTCACGGCTGTCCAGTTGACTTTGACGCACTGCGGCCTTCTTCTCTCGGGTTCCCCAGGAGCTCTGCTCCAGTGGTGTAGTGGAACGCACTGGGCTGTGACCCGCAGAGTGGGCAGTTCAAAGCCAACAGCCACTCCTCGTGAGAAAGACGGGGCTTTCTGCTATCCTAAACCGTCACAGTCCTGGACATGTGCAAGGCTGTTCTACCCTGTCCTGTGAGGCCGCTGTGAGTCGGCACAGACTCGATGGCAGTGAATTTGATTTGGGCTTGAGATCTTTATGGGATGAGACAGCCTCATCTTTCTCCCTCAGGGCAGCTGATGGGTTTGAACTGCTAACCCTGCAGTTAGCAGCCTAATACTTAACCCACCATGTCACTAAGACCCCTTCCTTTCTTTAAACACAAACCCACCGACATCGGGTGGACTGCAACTCATGGCGCTCCTGTAGGACAGACTAGACCTGCCCGCTACGGGTCCCAAGACTGTCTAGGTATACCGTGGGCAGAGACAGCCTCGTCTTTCCCCCACGGAGTGGCTGGTGGGTTTGAACTGCGCAGTGTGTGGCCCCAGAACTACCATGCGGTCTTCCTCTGGAAACACCACCACCATTTGGGGCGGGAGGGAGCGTGCACGGAATATGTGACGAGCTGCTTCTCAGAGGCCCCTGGAGGCTGGGGTGGCCGACCACAAGCTCCAAACCCCGCTCTCCAGCCGGGATCCCGCAGCCCCACCGGCTCACCTCCCTGCAGGGTGTACTCGGTCACGGCCCGGCTGAACACGCCCAGGCCCGCGCTGTTGTAGGCGGCCACCTGGATCTCGTACTGCGTCCAGATGATCAGGTCCCTCACCAGGCAGTAGTTCACCTCCGGGCTGCTGATGTCCCTCTGCTGGTACTCCCCAGGGAGCCCGGCCAGGCGGTACCTGTGGCGACAGGAAGTCTGGGGTGAGGGCAGGAAGTCAGGATCCTCAGGGGCTTGGCGGTGAGAGGGCATGAAGACTCACAGTGACCCCGAGAACAGAGCAGAGCTGCCCCGTGGGGGGTTCCAAGGAGCTTTGGCCAGCTAACTGCAAGGCCGGCAGCTCAAAGCCGTCAACCATGAGGCTGTCTGCTCCGGTAAAGATCGGCGGCCTCAGAAGGCCCGCCGGCAGCTGCGCCACGTCACCTTGAACCGGCGGGGTTTGGTTGTTCTTTATGGAGGAGACCGCCCACCTTTCTCCTGCAGAGCAGCTTCCAGTTAGCAGCGGAGTGCTTAACTACCGCGCCACGATCGAAAAGCCCTGACTCATAGCCACACAGTAGGACGGAGCAGACACCCACAGGGGCAGTTCTACCCTGGCCCAGAGGGCCACTAAGAGTCACCTCAACTCGATGGAGGGAGCCTTTGAACTTCCTTAAAGGGTCTGCGGTGAGGTCATGCATGGCCCGCCAAGTGCTGGGCTGCTCATTGTGAGGTCAGCAGGCGGAAGCCATCAGGACCCCAAGGGAGAAAGAGGAGGCGGTTGGCTCACGTAAAGAGTCGCGGTCTCAGAAACGCGCGCGGGGCCAGTTTTCTAGGGTGGCAGTGAGCTGGCCTCAACTGGATGGGGGTGAGTGGGTTTGGCTGTGAACTTCCCCCATGCAGCCCATCATCACGAGTGTGGTCTGAGTCCTGGGGGCCGGTGCCGTGAGGGGTGGGTCCTGGCAGAGGATGGGGGAGGGACAGGTGGCATCTGAATGGAGAAGAAGGTTGGAGGGGTAGCTCCCCTCACTTCAGACTCCCAGGCCTCCGCCTGGGGCTGCTTTGAGCTCGGTTCTCCTCCTTCCTGGCGGAGCTTGGGGGTCAGACGTTATTCTTCCTCCCTACCATCCTGGCGGCGGCGGTGGAGAACCAGATTCTGCTCCAAGGGGGCTGTGGCTCCCAGGACTTGGAGGGGCTCTGGGGGGTGGAGAGGGTGACACTCCACCCGGAGGACATGGAGCAGTGGACGTGGAGGGTGCGGAAGATGCTAAAGAGTCCTCCTTCGGACAACAGGCCCTCTGGGGGGTGGACACACGCCTGCTGGGTCCTGCAGGTGGGTTTCTCAGAAGTGACTCTTTAAGGAAGCAGAGTCTCATCTTGTTTCCCGAAGAGTGGCTGGGGGCTTTGAGGAGCCGACCTTGAGGTGAGCCATCAGTGTGTCATCCCCGGTGCCACTGGGACTCCTGTGTGCCTGCCCAGGCCAGTGTTTATGACTGGGCAGAACCAGGCAGGGCTTCGCGTCTTCGGATGGGTAGAGCTCCCTCTAAGAACAGGCAGGTGGGGCAGTCCCATCTGGTGCTGCCACTCAATGCAGCCATGGGGTCCACTGAACCTGCCGCGACCCTAGAGGACGGGGGACTGTCCCTGTCACTCTTCATGTGAGTGTGTAGTTACATCATCTGGTGTCAACCTGAGACAATTCAGAGTGAAGGGGTTGCTTATCAATTGGGTGGCAGCTTGATGACCTCATTTGGAGGCGCTAAGGAGATAAATAGCTCGCTGGAGGCCAGACCCTCACTCTCCCTGTGAGACATTCCTGCTGACAAGCCCCATGGAGCTACGCTGATGGAGCCAGAGTCCTGGAGCTGGAGAAGCCACATGGAGACCCACGCCAGTGCTGAGATGCTTCCACCACCACTGGATCCACAAGACTTTCCACCCACTGGCCTGTGATCTTCCTGCATTCTGTGTCATTGCATGTGGTGCGTGAGTCTGAAGAGGAATTTACAGACTGGTATTGGAAATATGGACTAATATCAGACATACGGACTTGATCTGGACTGGGCTACGGTGTTTTCTCAATATACAATTGCTCTTTGATATAAAGTTCTCTGTTACACATATACGAGTGTCTCTGGTTAACCTGGACTAAGACGGAGTAAAAAGCCTCACCGTTCTCCTGGTGGTTTTGAACTACTGACCTTACAGTTAGTAGCCCAACGCATAACCACTACACCACCAAGTCTCCATAACTGTCAGACGGTGTCTAAGAAGGTCTCAGTGAATGAGGGTGGTGTTGGATGACAGTCTGCTCCCTGTGGGCCTGAGTTGCCCTGGAGATGACCTCAGCTGGCTCAGAAAGATTTTTGCGCAGAAGAACCAGGAACGTATGTACAGGGGACAGTCCCTCTGCTCCGCTCCACGAGGCACCGGCTGCCATTATCAACATTTTACACCTGCGCACACATTCCTGGCGAGTCCTGGTGGCTGATACCATGAGGGCGATACATTTCTGGTACCCTGCTCCCCGGGGAGTAGCTGCCGAGCTGATCCCTGGCTCCTGCCCTTGAGAAAGGCACTCACAAACACGCCCAGGCATGTTCTTGGCGGGTGCTCTGAGATGTTCCTGCCACAGTACTTTATGCATGGGCCTTTGACCTCGGAGGACTCCCACCCTCATGGATCTGGGGGAGCAGCGAACCAGTGCGCCCTGATGTTCCCCGTGGCCCGGGAACATCAGGGGGATGTGATGCCGGCCCACCGCCTGGGTCCTGGGCTGGGTTCCAGGAAATTCTCCCCAGTCTAGTCTGGCAAGAGACTGAAGGAGACACAGAACAGAGAGCGGTGGACTCCGGCTGCAGCCAGGAGCACGAGGCACCCTTCTGAAGGTCATCTCCTGAAAGGGAGGCAGGCTCCACAGCCCTGGGCATTGTCTGGAAGCTTCTACAGGAAACCAGGGCACCAGAGCTTCAGGCCCCACCTGCCTCTGGGCTGCACACTGGGTCCCCTTGGGGAGTTTCGTTGAAGGGAGAAGGGTAGTTAGGGTGAGGGGACATGAGAGGGGCCGTGGGTGCTGCTTCCACACTTCCTGGGACGCTGCTGAGCTGTAGCCTCTGTGAGTCCTTAAGGCCCGGGTCCCATTGGAAGCAGGACCCACTGGGCAGGGTCGTGGTGGCCACGGGCAGATGTGGGACGAAGCAGAAAATCACAGGTGCTGAGGATTGAATGATGGCGGCCTGCTGCCCGGGCATCCGTGCTGATGCACTGGGACCCCAAGACACAGCACAGAGCTGCCCCATTGGGGTTCCAAGGTGGTCATCTTTGTGGGTGCACATGGTCAGGTCTTTCTCCCGCGGAAACCATCGCTGGGTGGGTTTGAACCGATGACCATCACTCAGCTCGCCCACGGCCATCGAGCGGACTACGGCTCACAGGGCAGACGGCAGAATGGCCCCTGTGGGTTTCCCAGACTGTAACTCTTTATGGGAGCAGCGGTCCAGTGCTTACCCACGATTCCCCGTCCACGATGCCGCGTGGTCCTCGTCAGGCATAACCACTCTGCCCCCAGGGTTCCTAGCCTCATGCCATCAAGAAAACCCCAGAGCAAGCCCGCCCACTGCGGTCCAGCCAGCCTGACTCATCGCCGCCCTAGAGGTCAGCGCAGACCTGTCCCTTTATGGGAGCAGATGAAGACGGCCTCAACTCTCTCGCTCGGAGAGCCTGGTGGGTTTGAACCAGCCACCTTTCAGTTAGTAACCCACCACGCCACCGGGCTCCCTGTGGATCAGCGGTTCTCAAGCTTCCTAATGCCACGGCCCTGTCATACAGTGCCTCATGTGGTAGTGACCCCCCCCAACCATCAAATTATTTTCGTTGCTACTTCATCCCTGTCATGTTGCTCCTGTGATGAATCGGGCGACCCCTGTGAAAGGGTCGTTCGACCCCCAAAGGGGTCGCGAGCCACAGGTTGAGAACCGCTGCTGCAGAGACTGTCTTTAGAACGACAACAGGAAAGTGCGTTTGCCAAGGAGTCACCAGCCTCCCCATCCATCAGGTGAACTGCATCGCAATCTTTCAAGACGGCTAGACAGGTTCCTGCTACTTCTCTCAGCAAACCAGCACAACCATCACCGAACCAGCCCAAGCCCGTTGCGACTCACAGGGACCCTCCAGGACGGGGCAGAACTGGCCCCGTGGGTTTCTGAGGCTGGAACTCTCTAAAAGCCCCGTCTCTCTCCCGCCACCATCACGTCAGCGCAGTTTTAATACGAGCAGCTGTTTTGTCCAAGGTTTGAGTCTCCCAAGCAGAGCCACGCCTGGTGTTGCTTCCTCGCAGGTGCTGACACTTGGCCCACCCCGACCCCCACAGGAAGCAGAGGCTGCCCACTGGGCCCCAGGGGTTGCATCTGGCCTGCGCACGTGTGTCTGGGCCACCGGTGTTTCAGAAGACACAGATGAGATCCTGTTATCTCAGGTGTGGGCGTGCTTCCTGGGCTCCTGCCGGCTTTCTGATCCCCCTGGAAATGGGAGAGGAGCCGGTGACACTGAGCAAGGCGTCCGCACAGCCACAGCTGGCTGATTATTCGATCTGATTCTTCGTCGCAGTGGACATCGCTGGACTGAGTGAAGGCGCCCCAGAGGCAGGCGCAGGGGCTTCACGTTGGGCTGCCGACTGCAAGGTCAGCAGTTCAAAACCACCAGGGAGAAAGACAGGGCTTTCTACTCCCGTGACGAGCTAGTCTCGGGAACCCAGAGGGGCAGGTCTACCCTGGCCCGGGGGGCCGGCTGAGGTCCGTGAGTTGGGTCCTGAGCACAGAAGCCTGGTGGCACAGTGAGGGAACACGTGGCTGCAAACGGGAGGAAGCTCGTGGTTCAAACACACCAGTGGCTGAGCTGCTCCTGACCAGCTGCAGCAAGGAGAGCCCACAGGCCAGCTCTGCCCTGTGCCCGGGTCCCCACGAGTCAGGACAGACTCAGCGGGGACCTCCCCGAGGTTAGAGTCCCTGGGAGGTGTCACTGACTCACACACTTGGCCCCTCATCGAAAGACGGGCAGGGTTCAAGCCAACCCAGAGTGCCTCGGGAGAAAGGCCTGGCAATTTGCTTGCCCCAAACTGGCCGCTGCGCATGCAGTTCCGCTCTGACTCTCACGGGGCCACCGGGCCTTGACCCACTGCAGGTTCGATGACAAAGACAAGGACTGCTGTGGAGGCCGGACCTTGAGGGGCCGGCCTTGTGCTCCTGAGACGTGTGGGAGGTCACCTTTGGCAGGCCGCCTGTCCTCTGACCATTTCCCACTGCGTGTTTTCGTGGACACTGTTGGAGCTGTTCTTCCGTGTCAGGTGCCGGTGTTCACAGGCTTTGCTGTACAAGCAAACTGCCATCAAGTTGATTCCCACTCCCGGGGACCCTGTAGGGTGGGGTGCAACTGCCCCCGTGGGTTTCTGAGACTGTCACTCTTCTCGGGAGCAGGCAGCCGTATCTTTCTCCCGCAAAGCAGAGGGCGGTTCCACATGCTGACTCCGTGGGTTACAGCTCACTGCCTAACCCACGGGCCACAGGGGCCCTTCCTGCGTTAAGTGTCTGGGAGGAGCGGAGAGAGAATGGGAAGGCTTACACAGGACACCTTCTGCCCCAACGTGGCCCCGGGAGCCAGCTGGCTGTGTGCGCTGCCTACTTTAGCCTGGTGGGAAGCCCTGGTGGGGACGTGTTGGGCTTCAAACTGGCAGGTCAGCAGTTTGAAACCACAAGCTGCCTTGAGGGAGAACAATGAGGCTGCTTTCCATTCCCATGATGATGGGCAGTCTCTGAAACCCACGGGGTGGTCCTATGGGGTCGCTATGAGCTGGAACAGACTCGGTGGCAGGGGGTTTGGTTTGGGGTTTTATGGGGTCCCTGGTGGCGTAGCAGTCATGCTCTGGGCTGCTAACACAATTCGAAACTACCAGCCACCCTGCAGGAGAGAGATGCGCCCTTCTACTCCTGTAAAGAGTGACAGTCTCAGAAACCCGCAGGGACAGTTCTCCTTTGTCCTGCCGGGCTGCGGTTGCGTTGGGGTCAACTGGACGGCACTGAGTTTAGTTGGGTTAGGCTTCCTACACTGTCCCAGTCCCCACAGCCCCTGAGAACCTGAGCCCTGCCTGGATTCCCTCCCTCCCTGGGCACCCTTGAGCTGGAGGGTGGGTGAAGTAGATGTTGGTCCAGAGTTGTGGACCGGGGACTTGCCTGAGGATGTATCCTCTCAGCACCCCATTGTGCTCCGTCTCAGGGGGTGGCTGCCACTGCACCATGATGGACTGGTTCGTCCGCCCGCTGGCCACAATGTTCTTCGGCGGGGCGCTGGGTGGCTCTTCCGGCAGCATCAGCCTACCAATCAGAGATGAGGGTGAGAAAGAGAGAGAGAGAGGTCCTGCCCCGCCCTCCCCCATCCCTGCCCTCTCCCTGAGACTGTCCTCCATGGACATCAGTGGAGGTGAGAACAGCCAGGCAGGTGCTGATCTGAGTGGAGAGTCCTAAGTCAACAGAACAGATGCAGTGAATGGAGCTCTAAGGATGCAGGTGGGAGATGGGGGGGTTCCTATGTTTGGGTCGCCCACAGCCCCTGTGCCATCTGAAAAGATGGTGGGGCTAGGACGGGCAGCTCTCGGGTTCCCTGCCTGTGCCTGCTGCTCTGGTCCTTTCAATATGCCTCCTAACACAAACGCCTGGGCCCAAGGCTGTGCCACACATGCTCGCTGGAGCTGTGACTGGTAGAGGAGAGGGTGGGGGACAAGGTGGGGGGGGCTGGTAAGCCATCTTATCCTCAGGCGCTGGGGTGGGTGAGCAGAAAGGCCACTTGGGGAGGGGGCGATGCTGAGCTGGGGCTCTTGATCCCCTTCCATGGATCACACCCCACTCCTTGGGCTTTGCTGGCCAAAACGATGGCCTTGTCTTCTGCCCGCTGGTAGGCATGGGAGGTGAAGGCCCAGCAAATGTGTCTCCTGTCCTGCTAGGACGATTTACACAGGCACGCTGGAGGTTAGTACAGGACACCTGTCCTGGGCCTGCCCCGTCCATCTCGGGGACACGGTCTTTTCTGGTGGATGACCGAGTGGACCTGTGTCCCCGGACATGTGCTTTCGGACTAGGACCCTGGCCGGCGGGGCTCCCGCCCAAGGTACCTGCTGGTCTCGGCGCTGTACTGGCCCTTGCCCACTTGGTTGACTGCACACACTCGGAACTGGTAGGTGCGGGCCGGGGTCAGGCCACTCACGGTGACCGCTGTCTTCTCGGGGCCAACGTTGGGCAGGTGGACTTTCCACGGAGAGTCTGGGGGGAGAAGCAGGACAAAGCCAAGGCCGTGTGGGCACAGAGCCCGGGCACGAGGGCAACCCAGACTTCCTGGAGCCCTGGAGGCTGGGCGGGACCCCTGCCCTGAGACCATCTTGGGACCTGAAGCTGGAAGTGTCCCTAGAACTCTTGTGAAACCCCAACATCAGCTCAGCCGAATGAGGGAAAGGCGTCTGCCTTGGGCACATCGGGCTGCGAGCGGGAAGGTGTGCGGTTCGAATCTCCCAGCAGCCCCACAGGAGAAAAGACGAGGCTGGCTGTTTCTGTAAAGATTTATGGCCTCAGGACCCCTGTGCGTCAGGCAGTTCTACGCTGCTCTACGGGGCTGAATGACGGTATGGCAGTGGGGCCTTTCAGCACTTGTTTATTTATAGGACACCCAAAGACGTCCTGGTGGTACGGAGAGGTTACGAATGGGTAACTGGGAACCGACAAGTCAGCTGTTCGAACCCCACAGCCGCTCTACTGGACAAAGACGAATCTCTGCTCCCATAAAGATGGACGGTCTCAGGATCCCACAGAGGTGCGGGTCTGCACGGCCTTGCAAGGTCGCTCTGAGTCGGCATGGACTTGACGGCAATGAGTTTGACGATTTGTTGATTTTCTGACAAAAGATCAGGAGGGGCCCTGGTGGCTTCATGGGTCAGGAATTGGGCTGCTAACTGCCAGGTCTGCGGTTCTAACCCACTAGCCACTCCGTGGGGGAAAGATGAGGCCGGCTGCTCCTGTAAAGATGAACATCTCAGGAACCCTCCGTGTAGGGCACTATGAGAGGGAACTGACCTGATGGTAGAGAGTGAGTGGGCTGTGGGGTCCCAGGACCCACAGGCATCGGGAGGTCTGGCAGGACGCTGCGTGGGCAGCGAGACTGCGCTCCCGCAGAAGGGACAATGTGGAAGAGGAGGGTGTGGGTGCTGGCCCAACTGGAAGATCGTCACCCATGCTGTAGGAGACCTGGTAGAGCTGGCGCTGTGTTCTGCCAACACCAGCAACGGAATCTTGATTGGCTGGTTCAAGGTGCCTTCTCATGCAGGGCTTCACTGGCAACGCCAGGAGGCTGAGCTTGTGAGTCCATCCAACAGACTTGGAAACGGGCAGTCAGGGCCACCCGGCCAGTGGCTAGGGATCTGGGCTTGCCTCCATGTCCCCCCCTCCCTCTCCCCCATGCTGCTTTCAGCAGAACCAGAGCGATGTTTTTTTTTGGCTCCCACCGGGGCGGTACCAACTGAACCAACACCTTCCTGGTTCCTCAGCTCCGATTCAGAAACAAGCCCAAACCCACTGCTGTGGAGTCGGTTCCGACACATGGTGACCCTATTCACGTGAGTCAGAGTGCCCTGTGCCCGTGGCATCTCCCGTGGCTGGCTTTCGGGTATGGATCTCCAGGCCTTCCTTCTGCTGTGTCTCTGCGTGGACTCGGGTTCAGCCACTGAGCCCGCTAATCCAAACCCAAACTCTGCCATTGAGTCAATGCTGACTCATAGCAACGCTGTGGCACGGGGTAGAACCACCCCTGTGGGTTTCTGGGACTTTTACTCTTTACGGGAACAGGAAGCCTCAACTTTCTCCCAAGGAGCAGCTGGTGGTTTCGAACGACTGACCTGGTGGTTAGCAGCCCCAGTGCTCAATACACCTCCTCCAACCCCAGAGTGGCATGGGTGAAGGGAAACTTTTCTGGCCTCCTCCAGCTGGGCAAATTGCCTATCTGTCTCCCAGCCAAGGGACGTCGCACCTGCTGCCGACTGATAAATAAAAACTATATTCATTAACATTTTAATCAAAGAGGCAGGGAGCGTGAGGAACGCAGATGCGCCGGGCTCCACAGCCCGTCTGCCTGGCAGGCCCAGCTCGCTGCGGCTGCACGGGCGCCGTCTGGGTAGACTCGCTCGCTCTCTCTCCGCCCGGCTTCCTGGCAGGTGTGGAAGACTGACTGCACCTGTCAGCCAAGCCCACTCCTGCCTGCGAGGCCCTGGGCGGTTCCGCTGGGGAGCCCCGCTGGGAGCCTTGTTGTTGCTGTTTCCCAGTTGGTGCAAGTGTTTCCGTCACTCCCCGGGTTTCCTTGAAGGACGCTGTGGAAGGACGGGGCCTGGCAGCGGTGTTGTCCCTCTCGTCTCCACTGCCAGCTCCGGATCGATCGATTGATCAGAATCTCCAGGATGGGCTGGCCGCCTTTCCAAACACGAGCTTTGGGAGGGGGATCTTGAGCGAAATCAAGTCTTCTTGGGAGTTCTTCTGATCCGGCCATGGCCACTGAGTCCGTGACCCTGTGGGGCACGGGGGAACCGCACCTTCCCCAAACAGCAACCCCGAACTCACTGCCATCGAGTCAATGCCGGCTCACAGCAACCCTGCAGGGCAGGGCAGAGGTGCATCTCTCAGTTTATGAGACTGCAACTCTTTAAGGGAGTTGACAGCCTCGTCTTTCTCACTCAGCTGTGGTTGCTGGTTTCAAACAGCTGACCTTGAAGTCACGAGTCCAACTTGAAACCACTACACCACCAGAACCAGCCCTTGGGGGTGTTACCAAACAAAACAGATGTGGCACAACTCCCACGGAGTCCACTCCTGACTCATCGTGGCCCTGGAGGTCAGTGTGGACCTGCCCCTGGGAGTTTCCAGTCTGTCAATCATTATGGAAGTGAAAGCTTCCTCTTTCTCTCCAGGAGCAGCTGTAGTTTCAAACTGTGAACCTTGGGGACTGCACCCCGATGTGTAACCACTGCACCACCAGGGCTTGTCGGATGTGCCCAGGGCGGGTGGCCAGTACCCCAAGTGATTCTGTCTGGCTTTAATGAAGGTCCCTGTGCTTTGTAGAGAGACTTTCTGACACATCTCCTCTCTCGCCTCTGCCTGAAGCCCAGGGCTGGCCTCCCAGCCCAGCCACTCTGTCAGGTTCTGAACCTCAGCACCCCTACCGTGGTCTCCTTGTCTCGGGTGACGGCAGCTCCCATGCTGCCCCCCAGCGCTGAGTCTGTGGCAGCCCCCGTGCAGAACATTCCTTCCCTACCACTCTGCTCTGAGGTGACATCCGCGGCGGGTGGAGTCCGGCTGGTGGGCTTCCCAGAAAACCCATGCCCCGCCCCTTCTCGCCCAGGATCTCAGCATGGCGGTGTTCACACAGACACTCGGTGAAGCGCTGTCACGGCGACCAGGGGACGTCTCAAGAACCGTCATGGGAGTCAGCTCAAGCAGAAATGGGGAGGAGAAACGCAGTCTTAATATGTCTCTGCTCTCGGCCAGAGGCGCATCTGCGGAAGATGAAGCCCCACTGCCGTGGAACGATGCTGACTCATAGCGACCCTGCAGGACAGGGAAGAGCTGTCCCCGCGGGTTCCTGAGACTGCAACACTTTACAAGCGGGATAGCCCCGGCTTCTGAGGAGCGGCTGCTAGTTTCGAACTGCCAACCTTGCAGATTGCAGTCCAACATGTAACCACTACGCTCCAACATGTAACCACTACGCCACCAGGCTTTCCCCACAGGAAGGCAGCCAGTGCCTGTGGCAAGCAGAGGCGCCCCGGTGGTGCTGCCGACTAAGCGCTGGGCTGTTAACCTCAAGGTGGGAGGTTCAAACCCACCTGCTGCTGTGAGGGATGGAGACCGAGCTGTCTTCTCAGTAAAGATTGAGAGGCTGAGAAACCCCGAGCAGCAACCCTGTTATGGGTTAGAATCCAATCAACAATGGCGGGGGTGGGCACGCCAGACAATGTCATGACACCCTTCTGTTAAAAAAGACAACTTTACCATCATAAAAACCAACCTGCTCCGAGGGAGTCGATTCTGACTCATAGCGACGCTTTAGGACAGAGTCGGGCTGCCCCTGTGGGCTTCCAAGCTGCACTCTTGCTCCTGGGTAGGCTCACGGTTAGCACCCTAATGCTTAGCCCATAGTGCCCCAGGTCTCCTTTCACACCAGCCACATCAAACCCTCTGCCACGGAGCCAATTCTGAGCTAATTCTGCCTCTTAGGGACACTGCAGGATGGAGCGGACCTGCCTCTCTGGGTTCCCGGACCTTTACAGGCCCAGCCAGCCTCGTCTTTGTCCCACAGATTGGCCGGAGGGTTTGAACCGCTGATCATGTGGTTGGCGGCTGAATGCTTAACCCACTATGCCACCAGAGCTCTGCAGGTGCAGGTCATCTCCTCTTTCTTCCAAGGAAGCCGCTGGTGGGTTTAAATCCCCAGTTACGGTCAGCTGCATATGGTGGTGCAGTGGTTTACGCACTGGGCTGCTAACCACAAGGTCAGCAGTTCACAGACCAAAGATGAGGCTTTCTACTCCAGTCAAGATGGACAGTCTGGGAAACCCACGGGCCGTTCTACTCTGCCCTCCAGGGTCATGACGAGTCAGCATCCACTCAGGAGCAGTGAGTTTGAGTTCGGCCTAATCCACAGTGCCACCAAACCAAACCCAACCAAACCCAACCCACTCACGGCTCTTGAGTCAATGCCGATTCATCGCAATCCCGTAGGACAGGACAGAACTGACCTGTGGGTTTCAGAGATGAGCTCTTGACGGGAGGAGACGGCCTCGTTTTTCTCCTGAGGAGTGGCTGGTGGTTTCAAACTGCTGACCTTGGGATGAGCAGCCCAGTGCACTGCCAGGGCTCCTTCGATCTCAGATTAAAAAATTCAAGTGAAAGGCGTTTACCTTCTACTTGACCCACGAGGGCCCCATGTGCCAGCACCACCATCTTGCACTCATGGGAGAAAATCGGCCTCGGACGGGCTCCATGCCCCCCTTTGACTCCTCCTTCTGCACGCACACAGCAGAGCAGGGTCCCACAGCCTGCCTTCACCCAGGGAGGCCAGGGCTCCCCTCAACTGGTGGAAGGGTCTCTTGGTGGTTCAGACTCTGCTCAGTGATGCCACTGTGAGCGGCATCCTTCTTGCCCCATCTGTCTACCCGCGACACGGGCACACCTCTGTCCCCAGCTCCTGCCCAACCCGTGTCGCTGTCAGCTGCTCACACGGAGTG